CCCCCCCCCCCACATCCTTCTGCCAGCTGGCTTGGCTTGGAAAAGGGGTTTAAAGAGACAGATGCCTTCTCCAAGCCAGCTGGTGGGGGTGGGGGGGCTTTGAGAATGCGTTTAAAGTTGCAGTTGCTTTCTTTCTCCCCACCTCAAGACTACCCAGGGAGGGGAACACTGGCAGGGGAGGGAAGACCAATCGGGGAGGTATGCCTCCCCTTCGCTTCCCCAGCCGCCCTGCCAGGAGCCACACAATATGTGTGAAAGCGCTGCATGCAGCTCCCAAGCTGCAGTTTGGCCACTCCTGAAATATTCTCTCATTGAATTGTTTTCTTAATTTTTAAATTATCAAATTGATAACATAGGTTTGAAAGGGAGAGTCCAATGGAAAATCCCATTTATAATATCATACAAGCAAACAACACTGTACTTTCATATAGCATTTTATAAATATGAAGGCACGTCACATCAAGCAGTATCTCAGTAATCCACACCATTCTGTATTAAGGCCAATATGATTATCACCATTTTTAGATGGGTGTCTGACTCTGGGAAACAGCAGCATTATAAAGAGTAGAATATACATGCTGCAGCTGCCTTATGGCTCCTTGTTTCTTCTTCCTGGTAACATCTAGTGCAATACGATATGATATCATTCTGCTTGGATTTGGTTACTCCTGCTGGTTTATTTTAACTATAGTTATTATAAAACCAGGATTCAGTTTGCAAATCCTGGGTTACCTAATGCCAATTCAGTGCCTTCATTTTGTAGCTAAGGAGAGTACAAGAACAGTGCTAGGGATTGAGCCAGGATTCAACCGGGATCTCTCCATCAGTATGTCACACCAAACCATCGTTAAGATTAATTGTGGTTAACAGGATTTCAGATTCTAACCCTAGCTAGAGGAGTAGCCTGCATTCAGATACCCATACTAAACATAATCAGTTTGGGTAAACTAGTTTCATATTGTGTATGAACTATTGCTTTGGACTATTGTGTATGAACTATTGGTGATGGGGTACAGAAATATATAGTGTACCATGTTTTGTGTTACATTAAATGTGGGAGAATATGAGTCATGGTAGGTGCATATCTCTTGTATCATCACATTGCAGCCTATGGACACGGAATGTCCATGAACAGGGAGTTTCCCTTTTCACAGTTTATTCTGTTAGCCACTCTGGTACAGTAACTCATAATATGCCATTCAGTTTCTCTAATCTCACTGAGTTTGCAGCTATTCACGCCGATTGGGTTTCAGTCATACTTTACCTGGAACACTATTACAAATGCTAATCTTGCTGCTAGCACAGCCCAGAAATCCTTTGCAATTTCATATTTATTTTCGGACCATGGGGGCTCTCGGTAATCTTTGTATCTAAAAAAATAAGACATCTGAGATTCAGTAAGTTCTAGCTGGAATTTATGAATTCATGCTAAATCAACAGCACACTTTGGTACAATTTCTTTATTTATTAGTTCAATTTATACCCCGCCCTCCCCGCCGAGGCAGGCTCAGGGTGGCTTACAAAAGGATAAAACATAGACAATTGTAAACACAGATAAAATCAGTTTAAAACAATCCACAGTCGTAAAGGGCTAGCTAGCTAGCTTGTCTTAAAATTAATTTCCATTTGGCTCAATAGAAAACAAAGGGTATGACAATAGCTAGGCAGCTGGTGAGTTGAATTCATTGACAATATGTTGACTAGTATTGTCTTGTTTTCTTGTGTCCCTGTAATATCCACCTATTGTCTCTGCTTATATTTCAAATGTAAACCTCTTAGAAATAGAAAGAGAGCATTTGTAAGCACAGTTGGTTCGTGAATATAAAAGCCTGGCCTTGTGCAGAGCACAAGATCTAATTCAGAGCAGTCATGGAGTCAAAGCACAAAATACAGATCAACATCTTTAAAATCAGGTATCTGGAAACATATCTCGATTATACATTTAAAAAGTATCTCTGTCAAATCCCTTTAAAGAGTATTCAAATATACCTCCAAATTAAGAGTGCAAGGCTGTGAGGCATTACTCCAGTCTAAGCCCATATAGGATGCACTGTAAATATACTTTGGATTTTAAGTGCTGTTACCTTGATGTACACATACAATAAGCAGACATTCGTGTCTCCCCTCTGCTGCAGCTGTGTCTCCTATTTCTAAGGAGAAGCAGCTGCTGGATGAATGTGTGGGATCTGAAGAGGATTTCCTTTAGACCTGTCTCTTGGTAGACGTAATGGTGGCCCTTGGAATCTTTGAGACATGCAATGTACTGGTTACTTGCATCCTACATCACGGTCCTTGATTCCACATTGCCCCTTTTGGTGGTGCCAGATAAGAGACAAAACAACAACAACACCCCTCCTAAAAAATTTGTTATGGAGACATTGACTTAGATCCACAGAAGTATTTCCACTGACAGAATGATTTCTGTCTGGGGAGTACAGTTTTCTCAACTACCCTCTCCTGCTGCAGCCCCCAGAAATACGTTTGGGCTGCAGAGGGTGCTCTGTGGGTAGAAACATTGTATTTCTGGAAATGTCATTATCAGCCAGCCCCGTAGCTACAGTGGGGCATTTTGGGCCCTGGCCCCCTGACTTCCTACCAAAGCCCCCTGACTCCCTTTCAGCCCAGGCCCCCAGCTCTCTGGCAAGATGCAGCAGCTGCTGTGAACTCTCACTGCGCTGCCATGGCTGCCACTTCTACTTGCCTTCCCCCTGCACTGCACTTTCCTCCAGGATCGTTAATTGCCACTTCCTGGACTGTGGCGGGGATGGGCGGTTCCTTATGCCCTGCCCAGAGGTCCTGTAGTCATGCTCGGCTCCCTGCATCAGCGTCCTTTTTCCTGGCTCCCACTGGCCCCCAGCTCTGCCCTGGGCTGTCTGATTGGCTTAAGGAGGGATGGGCTGGATGACAAGGGGAGGGATCCTGGAGGAGGCAGTAGTGCTTCGGCCACACCATTCGAAGCGAGCCAGGTACTGCTGCCCTTTGTCCCAGCTGGCAGCCATGCAGTGCTTGAGGGCCTTGAAGGCCTCGTTGACTTTCTGGAGGTGCTGCCTTTCACACAGCGTGGCCACCTGGCACAGTTGCCCGTGCTCGACTGCTTCTTGCAGGCTTTGCATGCCCTGTGCAGGTACTGGCCAGCCAGTGGGGGCCTACTGGGTGCCTACATGTGCTGCTCCAAGTTGTCGTTGGCCTGCAGGGGAAGGCAGGCAGCAGGGCGAGTTGCCCTCACAGAGGAAGGCAGCCGAGGATGACGAGAACAGGCAGCCATCCAGTGCCTCCATCCCTCTGGCCCAGGATGGACCTGAAGGGCTGCTTTATGCTCCCCATCTGGGCCAAGCTGCCCCAACCCCCAGGATCTGGTGGCTAGCGACCAGCCTCTGGGCATCCCGGCCCAGCTGGAATGCATAAATTAATTAAATTACATTTAATTGGATCAGTGCCCCCTCGAGGAATTAAAATGCCCCCCCCCCATGTAGAAATCCCTGGCTAAGGGCCTGTTATCAGCTGCTGCATTCTATCTCCTTCTGTGCATATACCATTGAGGATTGTCTATAGCTTTTCTACTACATTTGAAATGCACAGCTGCTCCCTGCCTCATTTAGACTCTGGTGTTGTGCCGAACAGCCATTATTTGAGTAGCGACTTTGTGAAAAAGGAAGGGGGGGAAATTTCAATGCATATTGACTCAGAATTGTCCCACTATAAATTCAGTGGTACTTGTTCACAAATATCTATATGCAGGATTACAACTTTTTGGGGTTAGCTAGATGTTTAGACTGCATTTGAGGCTTTTTAGTTTAGAGTAAGGAAACTAAGGTGGGACATGACAAAGGCGTATAAATGTGGATGAAGGAAGTAAAATAAATTTGTATGTGACAATAGCTTGACCAGTGGCAACCAGAGCTACTGGCTTATATTATGTATCTTAAAGGCATAACAGCAGAAGGCAGATGAATGGAAAAGGCAACTGTGGCCACTTCTGCATGGGCTATCTGCCACAGGGCTCAATGCTCTTGACAAGCAGGGTTTGTTTGTTTTTTGCTTCACTATAGCATTGTGGGGCACCTGCCATGGTTTCCCCTGATTTTCTCCCATCTTTCTCAAACCTGCTTTGTACCAAAGTTTTTGGAAAGCCTACAACAAAGCCTGGGCAGCTGCTGTATGGTTGGGAAAGTTCAGATCTTTCCTCCCACAGGACAACCATGTTGCCCGACCCTGCCACTACAATACTGTTAGAGCAATATGTGTAACAGGTTCTCTTAATTCTCAACTTTTACTTTTTTAAAAATGTAAGTCTCTGGCCACTCCCTTGCACAGATTTTAGTGGAAAGGCAAATCTCTGCAAAAGAAGGGATAGAGACTTCTAAAAAACAAAAGGTGGGAATTCATTTCACCAGTATGTGTAATGGGTTTTTTGAATTCCCACCTTTTGTTTTTTAGAGTTCTATTTTTTAGAAAATTATAAAAGTCCTCCTGGTAGCCCTGGGGAGGAAGGAGAGGTTGCTGCTGGGGGCCTGAGGCAGAAGAAGCTGCCATGTGGAAACCCTGCTGCTGCTGCTGTGCTTTATCATCGCCCACATGAGCAAAGAGGAAACCATGCAAACCCGCCCCGATGTGGAAACCACCTGTGAATAATGGGCAACAATAGTTTTCCATGGTGGTGGTGAAAGTGCTATCAAGCTGACTTATGGCGTCCCCAGAGAGTTTCCAAGCCAAGAGACATTCAGAGGTGGTTTGCCATTGCCTGCCTCTGAGTCATGACCCTGGTAATCCTTGGCGGTCTCCCATCCAAATACTGGCCAGGGCCAACTCTGCTTAGCTTCCAAGATCTGATGAGCCTGGGCTAGCCTGGGCTATACAGATGAGAGCATAGCTTTCCATACAAACGCTGTTACACATATTGTTACATATAACTTTACACTTGAATAAATAATCTCTCAAACAAATTACAACATGAAGTATGCAAGGGAATATTCTGTTGGTTATAATGGTTCCTTGTAATGTTCACTTTCTGTATTTCCCCTAAATTGGCTGGTCACCCAATTTCTATTCTTTTATATGCCAGCAGCACTGTCTTACTTTCACTCTCTGCAGTTATGGTATGCATCAAACTTTAAAACTATTTGCTGAACATTTTAAGTCTGAATCCTTCTATGTCGACTATAAAAGCATCAAAGGATGTTTTTCCCCCAAGGCCAGATCTGTGTGCCATGAAGTGGTTGCTGAACAAGCCTCTTAAACAAATTCACTCATTTAATTATCGGGGCTTCCATTGCCATTCATCACTTTCTTGGATCCTGCACTGCAAGGAGCTTCAGCTAGTACCAGAACAAATCATCCTGCAGCTATTCAGATGTTCCTTTTTCCCTTGGTAGAGATTATGTTCCCTCAGCCTTATGAGTCTATGAAGTAAAAGTCATGGATTAGCTATTATATGGAGCCCCAATTTGGATTCAATGCTTCCAAACTGCTCTTTTATGTGCACTTTTTGGAGCACCTAAGTGCATAGCCTCATAGGGAGCAAATTTCAATCACAGTTTGGTCTGCAACTATCGAATTTAGGCTGTCTCTCCTCTTATCTGACTCCATCCTAGCTATGGTAAACTGGCTTCAAACTGACTCTAATCCCAGCTATTGAAGCCAGAGGAAAGACAAGAAAATTGCCAAACTGAGTTTCTTCACAACATATTTATTGATGCTAGGGTTAAACAAAGTCTGTGTAGCTGTGATAGAAAGGCTTGAAGAATTGGACTGGCAAATGCTTGAAGCTGATGTTAAGCTAGTCTGCTCGCCACATTACCTTGGTTTTGTGCCTTGTTTCTCTTTTCTTGTAATAAATATTTATTGGCCCCGGTCACACGGGCCAGATAACACGGGGGGGGGGGGGGGGGCGGGGACGACGACAGCTGAACAAAAATTACAGCCCTCGGTCGTCTGAGGGAAAAGCTGTGCCAGCGCGATCACATGGAAGGTGTCTGTCGGCAGCCCGTGGCAAACCATTTGCCAGTACTTTTGTGCAGGTACTTTTTAACCGTGCATTTTCTGCGGGACGCCAGACCGTGGCAAACCATTTGCCAGTACTTTTATGCAGGTACTTTTTAACCGCGCATTTTCTGCGGGCTGCCACAGGTTGGCCATGGTGTGCTACGCCCGCCAGATGTTGCAGTGTTATCGAACACGGAAAATCCGCCCAACATTTGTGGCTTTCCCATGGCAAATTCGGTGTGTGAACGGGGCCAAAGTATCGCATGGTCCCTGCTTATCGTCGGCTATTCTCCTTAGATTGATTTAATGAACTCTATTTAGCAGAGCTAACTGGTAGATTTAGAGGAATCCCATGCATGCAGAGGTTGTGCCACTGTGGAGCTCAATT